CCATACTCGGTCATGGCGTCAGGTCCCAGGACGAGAGGAAGGTATTCGCTGTACACGATCTTCTGCAACTCGGCGTCCGATGATCTTCCTGGCCTCGAAGAACACCCGATCGTCGTCCCAGTCCGGGTTGACTTCGGAGAGCTTCCGAGCGACCCGGTTGTGTTCCCGCAGGAAGACGGTGTGCAGGAGGTCAGTCCCGGGTTCTGGTCCACCTGTAGGCGACCAATGTAAGATTTGAGGTCTAGCGGTATGTTTTAAGTTAATACTTTTGGTCCAACACAAAAAGTTCTCTCACCTAGAGCTTTCGACCAGTCACTCTGGTCTTCCTCAGTAGACTGACCCAGTGAGGCTTGTCACGTGGCTTCTTTGAAGTGTGACGTCAACACTGGGTCAAAGGTATCTGGTAGACGATGTCGGCCCCCGTCGCGGTTAAGTGAAGGGTGGTGGGCCCTGATTTTAAATAGCCTCCTTCACCCCTCTTAGGAAATAGTCCAGAGTGACTGGTTGAAAGTTGAGAGAATTTTTTGTGTTGGACCAAAAATTTTAACTTTAAACAATCATGTAACTACATGTACCAACACAGATGAACTTTTATGATAATTTTTTGTTACATTTTCTTGACCAGGTTGCTGAGTAGTGACAAACGGGGAAGGCTGGCGTCCTGTACAGACCAGGGTATCCCCGGGTGTGTGAATGACCTATACCCAGCCTACAACACCATCGGCCTCCCCATGGCTAACCCACCTCCACCCAGGGACCACTACCTCAAGTCAAGCCGCAGGTTCTTCAGTGAGTAACCTGGTCTTTGTTTTAATCTCATTTAGTATCTCATCTACCAAAAATCTCACTTAGTATTTTAACATTTAGATGTTTGGCTACCTATTCTCTATTCAAGTTAGGGGGTTAGTGAACAGGGAGAAAGTTTAGTGATTTTCTTTGATAACAAATAGATTCTATTTTGTTTGTTTTGTGCATTGTCTTTCATTTGCAGCCACACTGACATGAGTATTGTCAATGTCATTAAAGGCAGAGTGATTTTTAGGGTACCACCCATAGAATAAAGAACTCATCTTGGGGCTTGTTTCTGCAGTTTTAAATACCTTAGTATGAAATACTGATTGAAATGTGCTAATGTAAAGCAGTAATGACTTTTGTGTCAATACCACTAACTTTAAGATTGCTTTATTCAGAATATTTCCAGTTTTGCTGCTCTGAAATTGCACTAGATGCCTTTAAGACAGGTTTTCCAATATTCCGGTGTTAAATCTAAATTTCCTTGCTCGTTCCCGCAGAGCTTGGGAATCCTCGCGGGAACGAGAACGCCTTCCTGCTGACGTTCGGCGTGCTCTGGTACCGCTGGCATAATTACCTCGCCGAGCAGATTGCTGACAACCAACCTGATTGGTCGGACGAGAGAGTTTTCAACGAGGCGCGCAAGTGGGTCATCGCCACACATCAGGTTGGTACAAATAATATCTACTAAAGTTAGGCCGCACCAATTTAATTTGTTGGTTCTCAGATTGTTTCAGAAAAAAATGAAGCGACAGGGCAAAAAAAAATAAAAACAGGTCTAGGCATCCTATTACAGCCCCAAATGCTACGATAGGAGCCATGAAGTGAACACAAAAGCTGGATTGATATTCAAACAATGAATTTTGAACTTTCAATCAAACCACTGCATTGATAGATGGAAAAACTGTAACAACTAGGAAGAAAAAAGCTTTCCTCAACTGTTCCCCAATCAACTCAAAAATATGAGCATTTTTGAATTGATGTTTTGCAAATCCAAGAAAAATGAAAAATAAAGGCAAATCCGAGAACCAATTATGTCCCTCATTGCCAGGTGACATACATCTGTCACTCTAAAAAAATGAACAGATCTCCAAAACAAAGTCCTCCTTCTGTATTATATAAACTGTGCATGGGGGGGGGGGGTGCTCGTCACTGAATGACATCCAGTAAGTTTCTAGCGGAGACCAATCAGAGGGCTGCTGAATAATTTGAATAATTTATCAAGGTCCACGGACGCGGTTCTTTCACTTGTAAAGTACCACCGAGCCGGTGGCACACGACTGGGAAAACATGTACTTCACACCCATTGTTCGTCTGTATAAAGCGCAATATACATTACAAAGAGAATTTTCGTGGGACTGCCATTTCTTTAGTTTGCAGTATGTGTATTGAGAACGTTCGAACGGGTATCTTCATAATTCTGCTGGCTGTTTGTAGAACAACGGCACAAAAAAACAGTTTTTTTTCAGTACCATCACAACTTGGCAGATAACACGCAATGAAGCCCACTTTTTACGCAGATTGTAGCACTGCGTGATGTTACACAAACTAACAGTAGATGTTTTAAGGAATTCACAGAAATGGCAATGATAGATAATGTAACGCATAAACATTATACAGCACAAAATGAAGAGTAACAGTAATGTAGTCGTGTTTGGCAGGGTATGGCAAGTCATAGTGCGTACATCTATCGGTAAGTTGACAGCAACAAGCAAGATGCATAGGTTCTATTACTTTTGTAGCTCACTTGCGTCCAGATTTGGGACGAACCCATGTTACTTTTTCGTCGCAGTTTTGCATGTAGTGGTAAGGTTGCTTCCGCAGCCTTTCCGCTGACGCAAACATAGTTTGAGATTAAACAGTTCTTACAACGTTAGCGCTTAAAGTTGCTGTGGTGTTCTCCAGGTTTGTTGGTCTGGTGATGTTGTCTTCTGTTGGCTTGTTGTCTGTCATTTTCCTCCGTTTTTATGTTTGGCGGCCCGTCTTCGATGGGTTGGGTTTGCTTCACAAATCTCGGCTTCGCTAAGATCTGTTCCTCCCGTAGTGGTCGCTCCATTAGCGCTAGTGCAGCCCCATTTGAATCTGTAAAACTTCATGTCTACAGTCCCGTTTCGATTCGTTCATCTAAGTAGATTTTACTAACGTATGATTTTACAAACTAATTGTGGAAGTACTAGTACTTAGTACTGAAGTAAACAAGAAACAATTACGCGCTCTGGTTGAGTTCATGGCATTTACATGAAACAAGGTGCTAATAGTCGCTAGTCGGTGACCTGTCAGCAGCCCTCTGATTGGTCCCCGCTAGAAATCTACTGGATGTCGTATAGTGTACACGGGGGGGGGTGCTACAATAGAAATCTCTCAAGAATACCGGTAGAGGTTGATACAGAATTTCATTCCTTCTTCTTCTCTCGTCCACAGAAAATTGTCCTGTATGACTGGCTTCCAGATTTCTTGGGGGAAGCTCGCAGGCCTGCCGAATACAAAGGTAAAACTTTGGCCCAACAGTTTTCTTCACTTACATGTAGTGCTAAGCATTCACTTACAATACAGATCTGGGATAAAATTGACGAGCGTGCAAATTGCGATGAAAAGTTGTGGAAAGCATGATTAAAAGCTCAAAATTTCTCGACTGGAAATGAGTGCAAAAGCTATGCAAAAGCTGTGCCTCTCATTTGAGTTGTGTTCACTTTTTGTGACACGAAAACCCTTGTAGATGTTGGACAATTAAAATGTATGTGTGGTAATAATGTAGCTAATTAGTGCATTTGGTTTGCACAGCAGCTGCTTTTCCGCAAGTTTTAACTGTAAAATTGTTACAATTGGCTTTTAGCATTTTACAGCTTTCAACTGTGATTTAGATGCAATTCAAATGACTTTTGCACAAGAAATCAACAAGTTAAAACCACATGACTTTTGTGTAAAATGCATGGGATTCTGAGTGAACTTTTAAAATGGAGATCAGTACAGTAACTTGTCTTGTCACTCCATTACAGAAAATATGAAGAAACTGATGTGTAGGATAGTTGTAACAACACAACCAGGGTTTGAAATTAAAGGTGGCCACTGACCACTAAAATTTTGGGCTAGGACAACTAAAAAGACACTTTAGGACATTTTTGGGACAATAGAAAAGTAATCAACATCAGAATATCAGCCCTTCTTTTGTTCATAAGGCACACGTCCCAGCTTTTGGATATGGAAAAGTTCCCCCGAATTTCCTGTCTACTCTGCAATTATAGTGCGCCTGGGAGTGAACATAACCAAATAAAGTTGACTTTAAGTTGAAGTCATACAAAACAGGTTGGGACAGTTCATCCTCACTTTGGGACAATTAAAATTTATTTTTGGGACAGTGCTGGGACAATAGGATGAAAAGTTAATTTCGAAGCCTGACAAGGTTGGTTTGTCTCAGGTTACAGCTCGGCCATCCATCCTGGCGTCACACACGTGTTCCAGTCTGCCGCCATGAGGTGGGGCCATACCATTGTGCCCCCGGGGGTGTACAGGCGCAGCAGAGTGTGAGTTTTGCTAAAAAATTTTACTCCCTCCTTAGTTTTTTTCATTGGTGACTGTTAACTCTTGATCCTCTCTGTGTAACGGCAGGGTGTTTGGATCAGAACCCAGAGGTCATGGGTTTGAATCCTGCCATTGCAACGATCTTGTGCCTTAGGAACAGCACTTACCGTAGTACGACTTAGGTAGGGGAGGTAAAAGGTGATGGAAGAAGAACTTAAAACTGGGCTCCTTCCAATACTGTGCTCAATCAATCAATCCTCTTCTACCAGCTACTATAGGTAGTAGAATTTGCTTGATGCCCAGATGAGTTTGAAATTAACATGTCAATGTCAAGGGGGACTTTCCTTAGATGATTTATTTTGATTTACGTTGATGAATATGTTTTTGAAATGTTGATGCCATAATTAGTAAGCAAAAAATGCCCTGTGAATGTTGAACTCAGGAAGGGAGACGGGACATGTGACTGGCGTAAGACCTCCATGTTCACCAGCCCGCACACCAACGGATACTACTTCCACGGCGTGCGCACATGTAACTCCTACTGGAACTCTGTGGTAAGTAGTCTGGATGGTTGGATCTAAGGGTTTTCTCTTACACAACCAAATAATTGTCACAACCTTGCTTAGGAAATTTTTGGCACTTTTGTTTGCTGACTCACTCATCTATTTAATAAGTTGTGCTCTAAGCCTCAACCGACCAAATCAAATTTTGGTACCATTGCAAAGAACTTTCCAATTGTATAGATTGACAAAAATATAACTGAACGAAATCAAGTTTCTGAACTTTTTGTGATAACTGATAAGACTGTACAGTTACAAGTTGATTGTCAACGAATATTTCTGTAGGACCCACATGAGGAAGGTTTTAAGGCTGAAGGCGTGGAGCCATTTGACGGGGTGGAGGAGTTTCTACTGGGTCTGTCGTCTCAAGTCACCGAGCGCGAGGACAACATCATCACTGAAGATCTGAGAGGTCAGGTTTGGCCAGCGGGGCTCTTACATGTACTAATATCTGTTCAGAAACCATTGCCATTAAGTTATTATAATTATATAATATTTGTGTGTAATCTTTTCAGTTTTGCACTTCATTCAAAATGCTGATCATACCAGTCAATACACAAGTAACAAATAATCCACAATATAGAAATTATGCAGGTGGTATTTCCAGCCCTGGACCATCTTACAGGCTCATTATCATAAGTCAGTTTTCCTGAAAAATTCATTTTTGTATTCCAATGTTATAGCTTGTAGCCATAGTTGAAGTTACCAATTTGCTGTATGTATACTTTTTCGTCATTAAAACTTTCTATAATAAACACCTTTATATATAGGTTTGCCCCTAAAACATAATATATTACATGATTGTTAGAAATATATACAGCAACTGGGAACTAACTTTTTCCCACATTGCATTGAAAATAACTCCAGGGCGCGTGTTTGGTCCATTGGAGTTTTCCCGGCGCGACCTGATGGCGATCAACATCCAGCGGGGCCGGGACCACGGCCTGCCGGACTACAACACGGCACGCGTGGAGTACGGCCTGCCGAGGCGGGAGGACTTTGCTGACGTCAACCCCTGGCTCTTCAATGCCAGTAACGTTGCACACGGACCTGAGGTACACATGTAGGCTCAGCTGTAAATTGATACTGTAATGCATATGGTAACTATACATTTACGTTAACTTAGATAAATATAAATAAATTTATTATATAAATTAAATAAATATAACTTTCTTAGTTAGTCATTTAGGGACCTGAGGTAGGTTACTGTTTGATACATCACCAAAGATTGTATGTTTGTTAATCAGGCCATGTTAATTTGATTATATGGATGACATCTGCATGCACTTGTATTTTCGTCTGTTTCCAAAAAGAAAGATTTCGACAGTACTTTAAATCGTACAAAATGAGCGAATATATGTCATATGTTGCAAAAAAAAAGTATTGTAAAACGGTACTAATATCATAGAAATCAACGCCAAAATTAATTCAGGGAAAGAAGAAAATGTGAAGAAATGAAAATGAAGAGTCTATTATTTGCCATACCATATTTTGTATGTTTACTGATTTGTACAACCTTTATGACCACGTAGATTTCATAATGAAGGAAACTTTTTTTTTTTGCCAAACTTTTTTTTAATTCGCACGCTCGCGTCAGTTTTGGGGTTCCCAGAGGATGTCATCCATATAATCAAATCAACATGGCCTAATTACAAGTGCCTTTCCCAAGGGTACAACATTGGGGACTGCCAAGGTTTAAAACCCAGAACATTTAGATTGTAAGTCAACAACCGTAACAAGACTGCTTGCATTTCCCACTAGCTCCTGGCTAACATCACGACGTTTGCAGCAGCGAACAACTGGACCACGGACAAGTGCGACATCTGGGTCTGCGGCCTGCTGGAGACGACCGAGGCGGGACCGGGGGAACTGTTTGGCGCCGTCATCAAGGACCAGTTTGAACGGATCCGAGACGGCGACCGCTTCTGGTACGAGAACGACAAAAATGGGTGAGTTGCTCTTGTTGTCTTGCTGCAGGTTATAGTGTCTGAGTATGTGAAAGTCTTTTAGTAATGTAAGGGGTCTCACAGGCCTCGAAATTAACTTTTTTTACTATTGTCCCAAAATTGTCCCAAAAATAGATTCCAATTGTCCCGAACTGAGGATGGACTGTCCCAGCCTGCTTTTCAGGAAATAAGTTTATGACAACAATAAGAAAACAACAACTGAATTTCTACAACTTGAAGTCCACTAAGTTAGTACAGTAAATGTCCATCATTTTCCTTGACTGTAGGGAAATGCATGATAGTATCATGGGCGCAGCACCATCTTCAACACCCCCTCCCCATGCAACATTTGGAAACCCCGATTGGTCAAATTTAAATGTTTGTCAGAGTATTATGGGCTACCAGCAGCCCGCAGCAGGATGGATGGATCATGTTCCTAAATGATGTGGACAGTCTCAGATGAGAATTTTTCAATTGCCCCGAAATTGTCCCGAAACGTAATTTGAATTGTCCCGAGCTGAAAATTTAGTGTCATTTGACACTGGGACAATGTTAATTTCGAGCCCTGTCTCAGTGCCGTGTAAACTTTAAAAAGGATGGGGCCAAGATACATCATGTACATGTACATGTAAGTTAAGGAACAAAAAATGATGATTTTAAAATTATATAAGTAAAGAAAAGCTTGAATGTCCAGGTATAAAGTAGAAATTACAGATTCTAAGCACAAGCAAGATGAAAATAATTTTTTATTTTAGGCCTTATTTCAAATGGTAGATTTATGTTTTGTTGCCTCTGTCCTGTTCAATTTTTCTGAATCATTTCACTTTTCCCAAATTATGCTATAATAATTCCCTGTCAAGCATGATAATGTAAAATACATGATGTATATTAAAAGATATAGCAGATTGGCCAGAAGTCTAACAGATTCTTTTGTTTTTTTCTAGACTGTTCACCAAAGGAGAGATCGAACAGATCAACAACATCACCCTGTTTGACATCATCAAGAGTGTCACCAACATCACTGACGCAGACATGCAGTCAAACCCCTTCACTCGCAACCGGTCAGTGTTCCATACAACACTTACTGACTATATAATTTTGTGGATTTTTTAAAGGTCACTGCGAAGAGCGATTTTGCCACTCGTGGTAGACCCATATTTTACCCAATCCGTGATCTTTGATGGGCAAAAATCAGCATATAAATAATAAAAAAAGACTTGTTAAGGTTTCCTCACTGGCTAATTTGGCATTTTAAACTTTGCATCGTTTTGTCACAATTGAAATTTGGAAAGAAATGTTGTTGTACTGAATATTGATACCTGGGTACAAAAGGGTTATGAATTTGATTTTATGGACCATATGGATGACGTCATCATATTTTATTGCCCCAAATGTAATTATCTTTAAAGTTATAATACTGTAACAGCAATTTGGTACAAGTAACAGTTACTGCAATAAAAGTATGTCTTTCATGTGCACAATGGTCAAGGCTACGAATTGACGTTTGCACATTCAAATCGATATCTACTAATTACCCGTAGTTATTTAAGAGAATAACTAGCTTTTAATTAGGCTATTAGGTTATTCTCTAATAACTACAGGTAATTAGTAGATATCAATTTGTGCAAACGTAAATTTGTAGCTAGCCCAGCAAGGCTTAAGGTTTCGAAATAAATGAAATGAAATTCAACGTTTATCTTTGTCGTGCTCCAGAGTCTCCCTGCTTCCAGCCCAAACAGCTGAGTGAGTTTGACATGGAGCCGTGCACCCCTGACTATGTCAACAAGACGGTGGACTTCAAGAGACAGACGTTTGACTACTTCACGGGCAGCGCGGCCTCGTACATCCTCACCTTCTTTGCCCTGGGATTGTTTGTCGTTGGTACGTTAGTGCAAAAGTTACAGTGTTTTCTTGTGCTTCATCAGGCCACAACAATTTGATGTCTTATACTATCATGAAAGTTCATCTGTGTTGGTTACATGTTTAAAGTTAATTTAAAAACTTTTGGTCCAACACAAAAATTCTCTCACCAGTCACTCTGGTCTTCCTCAGTAGACTGACCCAGTGAGGCTTGTCACATGGCTTCTCTGAAGTGTGACGTCAACACTAGGTCAAAGGTATCTGGTAGACGATGTCGGCCCCCGTCACAGTTAAGTGAAGGGTGGTGGGCCCTGATGTAAATAGCCTCCTTCACCCCTCTCAAGAAATAGTCATGTTCAGTGTCCAAAACCCTTACAGTGTCAGGTGAGAGAATTCTTGTGTTGGACCGAAAGTTTTAATTTGATTTCTTGATTCTTGGGTTTTAAAAGTTACAGATGATATTGGGGCCACGGCAAGTTAATCAATTAAATAGGTTTTCAGATTCATTTGTTCTGATTTGCAAAAAAAGTCCCTCTGAATCAAGTTAAAATATTTTGGGCCCAACAGTTGAAACAAGTCCTTTCTACTATTTTTAGTTTTTCCATCTACATGTATCAATGCAGTGGTTTGTTTGAATGAAAGTTTAAAATACATGTATCATTGCTTGAATGACAAACCATCTTCATAGAATAGAGTTGAGTATGCATTTTGAGCACAAGTTGGATTCAGTTTTGTTTCTCATATTCAGATGATGTTTTGCCAGAAGGTTATTGAATGAAATGTTTAAAAAAATAGACAAATAAGTGATGCTATTTTACTTCCAGGTTGCATTGCTGTGCTGGTATACATGGCGAGGGACAGGCAGAAGAGAGAAGCGATAGAAAAAAACAAGCGTAGAAAGACGACGGCTGCCAAACACAGCAGGGATGGAGCTACGATTATACTTGGTACACACTCATTTTCCAACAAAACTTTGTGGTCTGCAAGTTCACAAGTTGGGGCGTAATTTGTTTGTTTGTTTGTTTCGCATAACCGGTAAACCACGTAACATACCAGTTCTGTACATGTACAAGCTGCGTAAGACTGGAATGTAAGGTTTGAACCACTCACACCGGGAAGGTCCCCCACTCTTTTTGATATTGTGAGTGAAGTGGGTTCTTTAACGTGCGTGGGGTGTGGCTCTCCCCAAACACGGGACTCCATTTAACGTCCTATCCAAAGGACGTCCCTAACCGAAGTTACATTGTAAATGTAGGTAGTACTTATTTTCACCCGAGTGAAGTGAGGAAAATCGTATAAAGTGTCTTTCCCAAGGACACAAGATCGGTGACATGGGCAGGATTTGAACCCGTGACCTCTTGGGTGTGAGCCTAAAGGGCTACCGGCTGCGCCACAAGATCCCACATTGTGTCTGTAGATAACAGTTGTTTTGTATTGTATCATTTTGCCTTTTATTATAGCTAGGGGGAACATATCGCCCACATGCACTTTTCAATGTGCCTTTAGGGTAAAACCCCAGCCTGCAACATCATAGAAAACACAAAAATTAATCAAATTTATGCAGATTACAAACTTGGTACAAAACCAAAGTACATGAAATGAAAACTAATGTAACTTGGAAATAACATGCTGCAAAATTATTAATACAATCATTAATAGACAAAAAGGTGAAACAATATAAGAATGATGTAAAACATAGAATGAAATTAGGATAAATTTGAATACAGTCAAACCTGTCAGCCCAAGAAGACCACTCAGAGGACTAATAAAATCTGATCTACGTTAATTCTTGATGCTCAATTTTGTCAATGGGAAAAATCATCAAAGGGACATCAAAAAGTGGTCACATTGGTTAATAGGTGATCACTCACTCATTCACTATGCAGTCTTTGATTGTTGTTCCTTTAATATAAATTATAATTATATTATTTAGATCTGACCACTTGTCCAGATTATACACTTGTAATGTTTAAGAAATACATGTAGTATAATGATTGAATAGTGACATTGTACATGTATGTATGTACTCTTCCTTTTCTCAGCTACGGAGTACGTAGGGAAGAAGGAAGGTGAGCGCAGCGTTCAGGTCAAGCTGGGAACAGGGAAGGAGATCAAGGTATTTGAAAGTCTAAAAAAATCACAACAGCACTCCCCAAACAGACTTAGTATAAGACAAGAAAACCGGTACTTATAGTAAGCAGCTAGACATATTTTAAAAATCTATCCAGTCGCTAAATGAATCTAATTTTTTTCTGTTTCCATTTTGTGTATCATTCTCATTACCTGGATGTCTAACTTAATCGACAAAACTAATACATTGTACATAATTGTCTAGGTTTTTAAAAATAAATCTTGCTATAGGCTTGGTCAGATTTTACTGTTGATGTTGCAGAATGATGTAGCAAAGTGTTGCAAATATTCATAGAGCTCATTCAACCATCCATCAGTTTTTTATTCGTTCTTGTATCCCATTTTGTTTAAGGTTCTGAACGATCGCGGGAAGCTGCTGAGAACGATTGACCTGCGAAACCACAACCAGCTGGTCCTGTACGTGGAGGCTGACCGACACCGTACGCAGATGGCCATCCACGTGCCCAAGGAGTACGATCTGGTAAGTCACTCTTATTCAGGTACAGGTCAGGACCTGAACATCTGTACCTGAGCTTAAGAAAACACTTAGTCTATAGTGGACACTATAGTGGACACCATTTTTCACACATTTAAGTGTCACCTTTGAGATGTTAAAGCATAGTATAGGTTGCATCTTGAAGATTCTAGTAAACTTTAAGTGCACTGGAGACCAAGTCGATGTTGTTTCTTATGTCTAAAGTCAAGATATAGTAAGTTACCGCAACAAGAAATTTATTTTTAAAGAGATTGTTGTAGTAACTTATAGTCTTGACTTGCCTCCTATCTTGCGATTGATGAGTTTTATATCTGAAATTTCTTTTTTTAAAGACCTTTATGTAAAGCCATTATTCCAGAGTTTGAATCGGATGATTTTTAATAATTTGTGTCAAGATATTTTTCGCCCTATGACTATATGGCATTAGACCTGGAGCCTGTGGAGGATGTTATCCATAAAATTTACTTGCTGTGGCCTAATGCAAACTGTTCGCTGAAAACGCAAGATGCTGTGACGTGTTCCTGTGAGCGCACCACTTTTTTTAGAAGCCCAGAAAAACGTGGTTGGTCGGTGCCGGACAAGATGCTCGAAATCATTGGATGATCGAAATTATCTTATTCCATTTTTAACAATTTGTGCAATTTGCCATCCTACGCAGGTTCTGAACTTCGAGTACACAGAAGACCGAGACAACGCGCTGATGCAGGTGGAGGACTTCCTGGGGACGGTGGAGGTGGGTCGGCGGCGCCAGGAGATGAAGAGTAAAGACCTGATGAACGCCATCGTCACCAAGGCTGACAGACAGAAGCAGCTGGAGAAATTCTTCCGCATCATCTTTGCTCAGGTACTGTCAGAAATCCCATAAACTACCAGTTAGGCCACACCTATATGATTTTATGGATGACATCCTCTGAAGACCCCAAAACTTGTGTGCGCGGGCGAATAAAAAAAAATCCGGCCAAAAATAAAAATGCTACTAAACCACAGGAATACAAAGCAGGTATTGTGAATTTGCGGCAATACATAGCGAGGTATACGACAAGCCGGTACATATGCTGGATTTTTGTTGAATTTATGCATCAGCAGAGTTAATGAGTCGTGGAGCTTCAGTAGCCTGGGTGCGATCCTTCATAGTTACCAGTACGGCTCAGTATTGTCGCTAACTACATGTACCATGGACTACCAAGGCCTAGAGCCAGGCCAGAGCCTCGGAGAACGTGATCTTTTTTTTTGAGAACAGGTCGGTGTGGCCTAACTGTAGCCCAGTCTGGTGCAGTCTTTATGGTACCACCTATTGCAAATTCATCACAACAGATGGCAGCATGAGTGTTCTGTACTGCTTTGTTGCAGCTCCCGAAGGGATGTTTTGGTAGCCTAGGTCCTGGGTTTATCAGTATAGCCCATACTGGATATACTGATGAGATACAAATAATTCACTAGTCTTTGTTCATGGTAGCAAACGTTCACGGTCTGACAAAAATGGACATGTTCACGGAACTTCATGAGAAAGAGTGTGGGAAAGTCAAACACACAGCACTACCAGCGGACTAGCCCCCTGCTGTAGTGCCCTGCACAACTGTGTGTTGCCCAAAAGGGTTACGAAATGGAGATGGGCACCATCCTACGCTTGGCATAAGAGTATGGGAGACCTTCTTCTTCTGGTACAAATCTTCCACCATTCATATCTCTGACTTTCTTTCTTTCTTTCTTTCTTTCTTCTTGTTTTAGGCCTTCAAGGAGGAGAAGGCACGTGAGGACATCAGTTCCTTCGACTCCCGAGATGCGAAGGACGTCCTGACCTGCGAGCTGACCCGCGCAGAGTTCGCCGAGAGCCTGTCCATGAAGCCGGAGTCTCTGTTCGTGGAGCAGATGTTCAACCTGGTGGACAAGGACGGCAGCGGATACATCAACTTCAGAGAGTTCCTGGATGTCATCATCATCTTTGCTAAAGGTAGGAATCTGCTCGACAATTAATGTTACCTCCAGGTGACTAATAAACTGGTGGAGGCCCAACTACTAAGTACCTAATACCGGCCCTGCCATGCCTTCAGCCATGCCTTCAAGTACCAGAGTTAGCAACCAAGGATAATGTATTCAAGAATTCATTTTTTCCTACAACTATCGCAGAGTGGAACTCGCTGTCACTGAGTACAAATTATTAGGGCATTATCATTAGATAGCTTTAAACATTGTCTAGAGTTAGATGTTCAAGGGTTAGGTGTAACAAGTCGTTTGGTGTGTAACGCTATACAGATACAGAATGATACAGAAAACAGATGAACTAGAATAGCTAGAATAACTGAATAACTGTTGTATTGTCAGATTGATGGATTGGTTAAAAAAATTTCCGTCGCGCACTGAAAAGTTTTGGTAATTGACGGAATAACTGGTGCTGGCTAGAGCCATGCCCTACACCCCTAAACATCTCCTGCGTGTTGTTTTTTCCAGGTAACCCTGATGAGAAGGCCAAGCTGATGTTTGACATGTATGATGTGGATGGAGACGGCAAACTCAGCAGGGAGGAGTTCAAGACTATGCTCAAGTGAGTACAGGATCTACCCGCATTTCTTTACTTAACATTCTGCTGCAATAAAAATAGGAAAATGTCCAGACTTTTCATGATGTTCAAAATGACTAGTATTATTAGTATTAACTACATGTAAGTCTACATGTAGAGTGTTCCATAGGCCTATTATGGAATACAGCAGATTTATGGGAATTCCATATTAATTATGCAAATTAGTTCCTGATTTGCACAATCCGTCAGCCGGTTCTTGAGTTACGCTCCCTCGAAGATTTTAAAACAAACTGCGCTGCAGTTCCAGAACAAGCTGCTAGGGGGCCCAAACTAATGTCTTCTTCTTCCCTAGCACTGTACCAGCTCAGAAAACGTGAAATAGTGAAATTAATGGCTTCAAGTACCAAGTACCAGAACAAATTTAAAGTTTGACATGCTGAGAGACCAGGGCTGTAGCCAGCTTAATTTTTTTTTTCGTCAGCCCAGGTTCATCATCGGATTTTGGGAGGAGAGCGCCATTGGCCCAAACTACATTGTATAGGGGGGTTTGGGGGCGTACTCCCCCGGGAAATTTTGTTTGGATTTTCAAGCTGCCTTAAAAAATGCAATTTCCCACATTTTGAGAGGCAAATCATGGGGTTGAGAGTGGATGTTTTCATATTTTTACTCAAGATTTCTGTCTGTCAAGGTTGAGGGATTGGTTTCCGTCACATGCCACAAAGTTTGGGTAATTAAAGGGAAAACTGGTGCTTGCTAGAGCCCTGTGACCAGATAATGATGGAACATGGCAGGGATTGAAACATACTATTAGGCAAAAATCATGACGATCCACCAATCGGTTCTTTAGATACCCTCCTGCAAAGGTTTTTAAACAAATGTTACAATTCCAGAACAAGCTGCTGGGAGGCTCAAAGCATACGTCATTTCTTCCCGAACACAAGAGCTGTCTATCATGAAAAATTCGCAACCTTAGCTTATCTAGACGACGAGATATCAAAACTTTAAGTTCTGCTGCAGTACCATAACAAGCCGCCAGGGGGCCCAAGGCCTACCCCGGTAATTATTTCAATTCGAGGTCGCATCAAGACCTACACACATAACAAATATCATTTAAGCCCTCTTGAGTTATCATTTTGACAGACAAACGCACACACTACTGAAAACAGAACCTTCTTGACAAAGGTAACAAGTAGTAAACAAGTGTTTACTGTTTACCCACCAGGTCGATGATGGACATGGTAAACACGGAGGTGGAGCAGGAACAGATGGACATGCTGGTGGACTCCATGATGGAGCAGGGCGGCGTCCGCGACCGAGAACAGATGACTCAGCAGGACTTCATCAACATCCTGGGAGAACACAAGCAGGCCCTCAGCAATGCAGCACTCAACCTGGGAGGTAGGGGGCGCTGTTGTACAGTGTTTTGTTTTTGTGTTGTGTTGAACCATCAAGCACTGCATGATGTTGTGTGGAAAGAGAATGAGGAGGAAATTAACAGGAATTGTCATAAGGCTTTAAAGAGGTAAATCTTTGAATAATTCTTGCAGAGACTCAATGACAGTTCTTTTTCATCAAAAAGCTAATTTGATATTTGGACTTTTGGACACACTTTCCAAATTTAATATGAAACAAGTAAAATCTGAGATTTTATACCTCCGGGCTTTTTATTGTATATTTTTCCATGTTGTTTGTTCTGTATAGTTGATGGTGTTGAATTTTATGTGTTAGATTTAGCGTTCCTGGTTGTGTTAATACAGGACTGGTCAACATTTTCATCTGCAGCCCATACCATGTACCCACGGTAAAAATGCATGTCAAGAACGTCTGAGACAGTATACCACGGTATTTGTAAGTTAAGAAGTCGTAATATACGCCGAAAACATCCAAGATTGCGCAAGGCGGCGTTGACCCCTGACCCATTGGCCCACCCGGAAGTTGCGCTGGCAGCCAGCCCAGCGCCGCGCGCGACCATTTTCAGATTTTTACGCCCCAAAACACATATACAATAAAAACAAAAAAAACCTGCACCATCTACAGCCCATTAGCAGAACATACACCGAGTCCAGTCTACCCCAACGCGAGATACAACTGCGATAATATTTCAAAATACATATCGGAAGCAGACACCCCTCTGTTTGACCCCTTTTAAATGGTAAGACCCAAAACTGAAACCTCCCCATTCCTTAACAACATGGTAAATTCCATTTTCAGCATGGCGGGGGTGTCCGGAGCACTTAAAAACCTTTTATTTCCACGCCCATAAACACATATACAATTAAGCAAAAACGTTCTGCATCATCTGCAGCCCAACAGCAATACGTATACCGAACCACAGACAAATCCGTCCAGCCGATCGCGAGAAACAGCTGCTGACAGAAATGTTTCGAACCATAGTAAAACCTCCTCGCGGAAGGATATCTCCTTCCCCGGAGGTAACTATTTCTCCAACTATAGATAGGTAAAAAAATCCCTACATGACTTGCAAAAGTTAACTTTTCTTGTGAGTTAATCAAAATGTAGAGTGATTTTCAAAAATCGTCCAGATCTTAAACCAAATGAAGTCTATTTGACAACAGGACTGTATGTTCTTTAAAAAATTAACTTTTATGGGTATCATCATGCAATTCTTGTTGGTCGTCTGTATTGTGTCTTGTGACGTACATGTAGTTTTACAGGGACTAAGGAAAAGGTGTTGCATACATGTATGTATGTCAAACTTGTTGTGAGTTTTATTGAAAAGACTTACAACTTCGTAAGGCCATGTTGATTTGATTATATGGATGACATCCGCGCGCGCATGAATTTTCGGCCGTTTCCAAAAAAAAAAAAGTTTTCAACCATACTGTAAATTGTACAAAACAGTTGCAAAATGAGCAAAAATATACCATAAGTTACAAAAAAAATTAACAAAAACTATACCAATGTCGTAGAATGCCAAAATCAAACGAAAAAAGACGAAATTGTAAAGAAATGAACTTGAAGACTAGATTATTGGCCAAACCATATTCTGTGCCATTTGCTCAACCCTCATGACCACGTAGATTTCATAATGAAAAGAACTTTTTTTTTTTGCAACACTTTTTTTTTATTCGCACGCGCGCATCAGTTTTGGGGTTCCCAGAGGATGTCATCCATATAATCAAATCAACATGGCCTAAACATGGATTTAATGGAGAATTCAGCATGCTGGTGGGAGTTGTATCCAGAACCGTGTTAGTCTGTGCGTGTTGTACATGTATAATCCAGAACCGTACCTGAGGCAAATCTAGGTTCTTTAAAGGCATCCAGTGCAGTTTTTAGGGCAATTGGAAATCCAATTTTTCAAGCCAATATTCTAGTCATTTATCTACATAGTACTAAGTTGAAACCACACTGTCCCAATGTACATGACCATCATGGAGCAAATACATGTATTCCCAAAATTCTGACGGAAAATGGTTACTGAAAGGGCCCTTGGCTGATTTTTAGGGTACCACCAGAAAATAAAGGACTCATCTTGAGGCTTGCTTCTGCAGTTTTAAATGTTCCAAAGTATGAAATACTGATTGAAATGTGCTAATGTGATGCAGTATGTGTCAATATCATAAAAGATTGCCTCATTCAGAATATTTCCAGTTTGAAATTGCATTGGATGCCTTTAAAATGCTGATACTATCCTGAATTGTGCTTGACCCTAACCCTAACCCATTCAGGTATAGAACTCAATAGGCACGGTTATGGCTATAACAGACTGTGGGTAAAGGTCTTAATTTATTGTACATGACTGTATGTACGGAGGGGAAAGACTGTTTACACTTAGTAACTGTTGTTCAGGGCTTCCGACTGAGAAGCTGAAGAATCAGGCTCGTCGAGTCAGCGAGGGTGAGTTGGTCACTGTAACCTCAGGTGCTGGTCACGACGGTGTAATGAACAGTGGGCTTTGTGGTGGCTTGTTGTAAACTAGACTCAGTGTAGTCAGTTGAATAAGCTAAATTGGAATTTACTGTAAATCTTGTTTAGGCCTAGGAAAAAAATGTTGTTTCCTGTAACCCAGTGTTCGAAATACCTGTCTGCAGTCTGCAATCTGCAGATAGATTTCAAAGATTGCAGAAGAAAAATTTATACAATCTGCAATTTTGCAGCAGGAAAAATTGGCACTTGGGATTTGGTGCTCTAGACTTGGCCCCAAGGACAGACAACACTTAAGTTCCTGTTCTGAAACAACAGGAGCTTCTTCACTAATTTACATCAACCTTGTCTTGACTTGTCTATCTTTTGTTTCCTTTTGGACTTCCAAAAATTTGTCTTTGCTAATTTGCATATCAATCCATAGTTCATGCTTATAAACTTGCAAGATTGTAGTATAGAGGCTTGTGTATTTGCAGAAAGTATTTCCAAATTGCAGAACAAAATTTTGACTCTTCTGCAATATTGCAGAGCACTGAAAAAAAGTATTTCGACCACTGCTGTAACCCAACCGACCCTAGAAAAATCTGCCAACCCTAGACTTTTTTTGGGTAATGGACCCCTGCAAGGGACATCTAATCAACCTGTTCTAGCTCCATTATCTAACACCTGAGTGATAAAACTATGTGCAATTCATTTTCTAACATTGATATTGAAAATAAAAGTGTCCTCCTGCAAGTTTTACTAAATTTTGTTCAACTGTATAATTGAATGAGTTGGACCCCTTCATGTACAATGTATATAGATATCACTGAAGTCTTAAAAAAAACAAGTAAAATCTGAGATTTTATACCTCCGGGCTTTTTATTGTATATTTTTCCATGTTGTTTGTTCTGTATAGTTGATGGTGTTGAATTTTATGTGTTAGATTTAGCGTTCCTGGACTGGTCAACATTTTCATCTGCAGCCCATACCATGTACCCACGGTAAAAATGCATGTCGAGAACGTCTGAGACAGTATACCACGGTATTTGTAAGTTAAGAAGTCGTACTATACGCCGAAAACATCCAAGATTGCGCAAGAGGGCGTTGACCCCTGACCCATTGGCCCACCCGGAAGTTGCGCTGATTTTTACGCCCCAAAACACATATACAATAAAAACAAAAAAACCTGCACCATCTACAGCCCATTAGAAGAACATACACCGAGTCCAGTCTACCCCAACGCGAGATACAACTGCGATAATATTTCAAAATACATATCGGAAGCAGACACCCCTCTGTTTGACCCCTTTTAAATGGTAAGACCCAAAACTGAAACCTCCCCATTCCTTAACAACATGGTAAATTCCATTTTCAGCATGGCGGGGGTGTCCGGAGCACTTAAAAACCTTTTATTTCGACGCCCATAAACACATATACAATTAAACAAAAACGTTCTGCATCATCTGCAGCCCAACAGCAATACGTATACCGAACAACAGACCAATCCGTCCAGCCGATCGCGAGAAACAGCTGCTGACAGAAATGTTTCGAACCATAGTAAAACCTCCTCGCGGAAGGATATCTCCTTCCCCGGAGGTAAAAAGAAAAAATAGATAATCCCTACATACTGACAGGAACAGACGGAACCTACCTACTGAAACAGGAAACACAACATTTTTTTTCCTAGGCCTTATTATTTTTTTACATATGTGTATATGTGTAATTTCACCAGGTTCGACGGTAGTTACTGAATAAAGACACTCTTTTTTACAAAGCCATTTAGTGCTTTCAGCCGACATTTCGCAGCATTATACATGTTGGTGGTGGCTTAAAACAGGAGCATGCCATAATTTTGAAGAATATAATCTTTCATGCTTGTATGACTTCCATTGAGGGACTGTAATCCATTCTGATTGTGTGTTGAAGTCACTGTTTGTTGATGGCTACATGTAGGCTAGGATTCAAGGTCCAGTGACTGCATGGTGGTAGTTTGGCTGCTTGTCTCTAGACCACAAAATGAAATTTTCAGGTTGTCGTGCAAAGAGGCCTTTTGATAGAAACATATCTACACTTTTCTAGAAGGTTTCTTGAATTTGTTCAAGAAGTATTCTTGAATTCATCACAGTGTACCCAATTTTATCTCTGGGTACGGAGGGTATTGGTTTGCGTAAACTTTGTTTCTCTCTTGATCTTTCTCTCTCTCTCTC